CGTTCGTTGCAATTACTTTCGTCGCTTCTGCCTGCAAAGATCTTGGAAAGCGGGGCGGCTCCCGCCGCTGAAGAGTTTTTGTAGCTCTATTCAGGCCTGGTTTCAGTTACTGAACTCTAATGCAAGCTGCTCATATGGGCTCCCAAATGCAAGACGGAGAAACGTGAAACGCCCGTCACGTCCGCGCTACAGGTAGTCGCCCTATTGGCGACGAGATGTTTTTGGTTGCGCTACCTCGCGGGCGCCTTAGTGTGACGCAGCTGATGATGCGAGCAGACGACGCGCTATGTCAAAGCACGGAGTGGCTATGTTAGTTCAAAACTATGCAGATTAAAACGGTTTATTGATTAAAGAAACGCGTATAACGTTTCTGTAAGTGATTTCTCTAATAAATAACAGCGCCCCGAAGTCGCATTTTTTATTTAAAAAAAACTTATAAATGTTCGAAACAAGCCTGCAGCATTCATTACATTACAGCTTGCGCGGCGTGCATCAGGGCTATTCAGAGCCTCTCAGACTCTTTTTTTTTCTTCAGATCCTTGGAGGCCACTCTAAAAAAAGGTTTTGCATTCACCAGAGTAATTAAAGTAGTGTCTTCTTAGCTGTGCAAATTCGCACAGTTGTGTTGGAAAGCGCAGCACACTTGTTTTAGCTGCATTGAGCTTGCCGATACCGACGCTTCTATCCAAGTGTGACTCGGCAGTTGCTGCCAAGCAAATGCTCGTCAGGAAGTGACGCTTAGCTCCTCCCGAATCGAATACGTCGCAAATAAGCTTGTCACATTGTGACTTCAGCTCGAAAGAAAATAATAAATTTCCATAAATTTTTAAATTGTTCGCCATGACCCGGCGAATTCGGGCGATTGATTAATTTCTTTTATCCTATTTTTACTAAGAATTGTTTACAAATTTCAAATTGCTCGGCTGAGGAGCGCATCACGCATTATGCGCATTTGGGTTCGCAAAAACGAAACATACAAACGGTAGTGATTTATAACAGGGACATTCCTCATTTCCTAGGACGCTGAAGTGTCACCGACTTACTAGATTGAAGGCTTAAATCGCGAGGGGGTCTCGCACGTTTCGGATCGGCCGGGTGAATAAGCAGGGATTTAGTCGAAACCACTCTGGAAGCCAGCCTCCACTTATTCCTGTCAGTTATTTTGAGAAAATGTTCGCTCACTGGTTTACACCATTCAAAGAAAAGGAACCAACTCGGAACTAATAAGAGACCAACGCTCACAGAACACATTGGAACCAAGAGGATACACGGAGTTGCTTTCACTAAAGTGTTCACTACACACGCGAGACGTTCTCGCACTTCGCTTTCCTTTTTCCAATTTGATGAGATCTCCCTTTTTTAGTTTTAATTTTTCCGAATCACAATAAACAATATACACCCTAATCGCCGTGGTAGACGCTGTCGTGCTATAAAGCGCTGGATATCATGTTTTCTCGTTCAGCTTTTTGTGCGGGATAGAGAACAGCACACGACCATCTGAGTACTTCAAACCTCAGCTCCAAAAGTGTTTGTTGGCACGACTACGCGTGCCACGTGCGGTTTCCAGCTTTCGTAAAATGTCCTACTACAAATATCACTTCACCAAATAAACACAACGTGTGAAACAGGCTTTGCCGCGCGTTACCCCAACAGCGCATGAAGCGAACTGACGAGCCGAGGGATCCAAGAACTACGCGGTCTGTCCCAGTCCGTCCTACCCATGACGTCTCAAACGATGATTATGATAGCTAGAAAAGCGCCCTTTGTAGTTTGCAAACGCCGCCAATTCCCAAACGTTCACCGTCTGTTCGAGATCGTAGTGACTCTGCGCGTAATAACGGCGGGAGCTGAGCGCTTGTTCTCTTCACTACGACGGTTGAAAACATACCCGAGAGCGTTCACTTCGAATGAGCGACTGCTCGGTCTAGCGCTTTTTTGGATGTTCACCGCGACATTGAAGTTCAGGCGGAGGACGTCCTGGATATTCTTTGCCGTGAACGCAGGCGGCTGCATCTTAATATGTAGCCGCTTGTCATAAATAAAATGATCAAGAGAGCCTGTAAATTGCTTTCTGAAGTAATTGGTCACAATTACTTTTTTATTCGTGGTAATTTCTAGTCGAAAGCACGTAACTCTGATCAGTACTCAAGGTGTGCGCGAGCGCAGCGTCACCCGTTGCTCACAGGGCAATTCTTTTTAGAAAACATTTAACATATCACTGACATTGTTTTATATTATAACCATGTGTTCGTTTTATTATGTTTGCTTTGGTTTGACTGAACTGTGTATTTTACTGAGGATAATTTGTTATACTTGGCCCTGAAATTGCCATCCTTCACCCTAAAATTGTTTCAAAATATCCGTTTTCTATATATATGAGATCAAGTTCCGCGTCCCATTAAATAATTATGAAGAAATAGTGCTTATTTTATTCATTTGAGCATTTTCTACCCCACAAACACTTTTCCCGAAAGTATATAAGTAGGACATAGTCCGCACTCCCCCTTTGCTCCATGCCCCGTGCAAAACCGACTGCGTGAGCAGGGGTGCAAGCGGGCCCGGGATGGGAAGGGTTTCGCCCCCCCCCCCCCCCCCCCCTCCCTTCCCTTGCCTACGCCACTAACAGGGACCGCTTTTATTTTTAATATGAATAAACGACTTCCCATTCAATTTAACATCCTACGCATGACTCTTCGTGGATAACTTTTATTTATCAGTGCATTACTTACGGGGATGATTAAGAATTATTACAGCGCGGCCTCAACATAATTTCGGTTTGGTGCACCATATCACGACTAAAATTAACACAAACAAAACCAAATACGTAGTATTTGCCAGCCACTCCTTTTTCACACTAAGAAAATATACACTCAGCCACGAAGACATAGAGTAAGTTAGAACTTACAAGTACAGCGTGTCCCCCCAGAAATGTAGTGTTTTCAACGGCAAAAATAAAATGTTAACTAACTCGTTCATTCATTCATTTTGTTTATTTTCTGTGCTCATGAACAGCTTGACGCCTTGACAATGATGCACAACAGATTTATCACAGATTAGTTACGAACGCCAAAAAAGTTGATTAAAACAATGAAAGATGTTTAACGAATCCCTGTAACGCGAAATTATAGAGCGCAGCTCTTCACGAGGAGGAGGGGAGAGTATGCCCTTCTCCTCCTCCTTCGTACCATCTCTCTCTCCCCTCCTCTCCCTCCCCTTTTCCTCCGTTCTTCTCCCCCTTCTTTTTTCTGCATCCTCCTCTACTCTTCCTCCTCCTCTCCCCTCCTCCTCCTTTAATTACACGCATGCTTTTTCCCTCATCAAAAACAAGAAAAGTAACCGCATTTAAAACATTTATCAGGTCGAAACTCGAATACGCTAATGCCATCTGGTGTCCTTATCGAGCATACATTCTTAGTGTTGACGATTGGGCTAGTTGGTCATTCATATTAGCGGAAAACAAACAGCGCAAGGACAAGGACAGAGTAGAAGGCGGTAGACACACACAACGCTGACTTACAACTACAGTTGTAAGTCAGCGCTGTGTGTGTCTACCGCCTTCTACTCTGTCCTTGTCCTTGCGCTGTTTGTTTTCCGCTAATATCTTCTTAACCAGCTCCAGTATGTTCAAAATAAAGCAAGACGTTATATCACCCATGACTGCTCACGCGCCTCGTGTGAAATAGTTTTTAAAACAACCTAGATATTACACTAGGAGCCGATGGGTTAGAATTACCTGTCATATTTTCATATTCTTTCATGGCATTGATAATTCGTCATCGCGTTTTGCAGCCTGCATCTCCAAGAACCATTTTTGCGTTTCCAAGCGCCTTGATTATTCTTTGAAAATTCGGCTACATTCTCCAGAACTAGCAAACTTCACGACTCCCCACTTGCCGTTGCCGACTTAAATTTCTTTTTCACGCACATTGTCCGTGAACCTGGCACCAAAGATTTTGTGACATTAGTAACCTTATTTTAATGAAGTGTGCAAAGTGTTTGTTTATCGGTTCATTGCATTTATTTTTAATGTTTTGTTCATTATGTTGAAGTTACTTCCCCCTCATATAAAGTGCTTCTTCTGCAGAACATCCGTAGAAATAAAAAGAAAACTGTGATCATTGACGTCACGCGAGGTGGTCATGGTGTTCAGTTGTGGTACCAAAGCACTCCTTAACACCACGTAAACTAACATCACGTCATGGTGTCGTATAATGGTTTGACGTGACGTTGTGACATCTGGTCACGTGACGTCACGTGATGACGTCAGGTGTCTTACGGCTACGGGATACACTCGTGCTGTGACGTGACAACAGTTTTGTCGCTAAATTTTGTGGTAAAACTGGTGTCACGCGGCATGACGCCACGTAGCATCAATTGGTGTATTTACACCAATTTTCTGTTACATCTAGCGGGAAAGCGCTTCCCACGTAACCAATAATCTGTACCGACAGGAGAAATGCACAGGCGGGCGAATGGACCTACCAATTGAGGGGGGGGGGGGTGATTGTTTTAGAATTTTTGTAGGCCTATTATTTAATGTATAGACAGAGCGCGACAAAGTTATGAAGAACGGGCGGTTTCTGTTTTTTCACGTTCCTCTCACACACGTCAAAGACTGTCATCGCAGATAATATCCTGTGGATTAAGCTGATATGGCACACCAAGTTAGCTCTTGTAGCACTATCTTGGGCACCGGACTTTAAGGGGAAAGCGAAAAGCGCGAATGTCGAGTTTGTACTTATTGTGTCGCGCAAATTTTGGTCGCTTGCTATTTCCAGTTTTACAAAATGCAGCATTGTGGTAAACGCAGTATATGGAATCCACTCTGTAGCAATAAAAGTTTGCTTTTATACCCTTAGACGTCATTCGACTTGTTAACAGTTAAATTGTTGATTAGTGCGACACTGAGTCGCGGCACGAAGGGAGCCTATTGCTTGCGACTGATGGATGTATCGCTTCCTTCTGACACGCACATGCACACCTGACCATTTCCGGAGCAGGCAGCCAGTTTGATTCGGACGGCAACCTTCGGAACTGGTGGACAGAAGAGACGCGCCGAAAATTCTCCGAGCGGGCCAAATGCTTCATCGACCAGTACGGCAGCATACTGGATCCACAAGCACAAATGCATGTAAGTAGACTTCGTTACCGGTGATCATAATGGTCGAATAATCAATGAATGAATCCATCAGTCAATCAATCAATCAATTGTACTTTCAGTCAATTAAACAATCAATTAAAGAGCCTCTCCAGACTAAAAATACCGATCGTAGGTCTTCACGCCTTGCACAATTTTACGGACCTTCAAATACGCTGCTAAATTATCAATCAAAATAACTAAGAATTCTTCAGAAAATTGATTCGAGAAGCTTAGATTTTGGTATACACATTTTTTTTTTCGTCACTCAATGAAATTCGTGACGTAACAAGAAGATACAGCCACTAATCGTGACGTCACGCCTTTTTCGGTTCCCCTCCTTAGCAGCATCGAGCCGCTCTCCCGAGACATCCAAAATGTATCTCGTACCAAATCGCAGATGTCTGAACGATAGGCTGCTAGAGCACCATAAAAACGCAAACGAGACTGACTCTGATCGTCTAGGATCACTGGCGAGGCTGGTTATGATTCCCAGTTCACAAAGTGTATGTATTGACGTGGAGTGGCGACCCCCTAATTAGAGAAAGTATTGAGGCAGAGAAGATCGCGTGACTCAGTGGCAATTGTATCAGCGCCCCTTTTGTTTCTTTATCCACCAAATAATTATACTACTTGGCGAAGCAGGCAATGTGATGACCCGTGCAAAGAGAACACCAAAAACATTCAGGATGTTTTTTTGTGTTCTCTTTGCACAATGGTCTTGCTTCTAACAAAGAAGTAGAAGAAACATGAGTTGTAAGTCAACGCTTTGTTTGTCCTTCTATAAGTCCACTCCTATTGACCTTGTTTGTTGCGCGTTGTGCCTCCTAATAGTAACCCGAGATGCGTTGAGCGACGCGACGAGACCGACCCGATGACAACGGGTGGGACGGCAAGAGGGGAATCAATATGTAGATGGCGAAGAGAGTGGAGGAAGGATAGGAGACGACACTCGACAAACGGCTCATTTGTCGAGTGAGTTGCTATGTAGGAAGTTACAGATGCGGCTTCATATGTTTTATTCTTCAAATCGCAAGCTGAAAATTCGCGGGCACTTTCACGAGAAGGTCCTGGTACCTGCGAAAAGGTTTTTATATGGAACTATACGACCCCCATTTTGCTACCAATTGATCGCGAAATGAAATAATTAGTCGGTCGGTCCGTCAATCATTCGTTTCTATTTTGTCACTGTTGACACTTTGGAACACCCTACACAATTACGCCTACGTGGATGGAAAGTGGGCTTAGGCTTTTTGAATAAGGTTTCGCCTCACAGATACATTGCCACTCTTCGCCCTGGCGATGCGCGCGCATACTTGTTCGGCATCCGTGTTGAGACTGTTGACGGAGCAGACGAGGCTGGGGTCGGTCACGGGTGTTGTAACGGAAAATAAAGTGTTTAAGAAAAAAAAATACTGAGTACCAGGTATTGTTCAACAGCGTCTTAAACCTGAAGAGGAAACGTGTCTCTCCTGCAGTTTTAATCGTTTGAAAGAAATGGTTTCAAAAACGTCGCCTGGAAGCCCGCAGGTGTGTCCATCGGACAGGGTGAATTATTGTTTCCCTATCCTTTCGGGTGATTCACTCGCAGAACTACATTTGCATGCCATGCTTTTCTGGTAGCTCGGATGAATGCCGTGGTCGCCGACAAAAAAAGCTCGAATATGGAGCAACTATTTTATATTAAAAGAAAACACTAGATAGGCGCAACCAGCCTACCTGCCAGCGTTGTTCCCCGATGCCTTCGAAAGATAACTGTAAGCGGTGAAAGACACATAATATAAAATGAAACAGTGGCTCGTAGTTTGCACTGCGGAGTGACTTGCATGCAGAGCTGAAAATGAATTGTCACTGGTGGCTGTACATTATATATATATATATATATATATATATATATATTTTTAAAAAGATGACATACACCGGGCATGATTACTTTTCGAGCAATTCTGAAAATTACCAGCATTTAGAATCTACAACAATTCCGGGCCATCAAGACGATAAGTATTTGAAAATTTAAAACAGTAAAATTTCTCTACTTACATTTTTTACTAAGGGCAGAAGTAACATTAAATACTCTCATCGTGCAAAGGTTTCTACATAAAGGTGTTTTGTTTTAGTCGGCACAGAAATTTTAAAAAGAGGGACGGGCGTTAGGAACGTTTCAGCCCGTGTGCTAACTTGGTGGCCAAGACGAACACTTAAAAGGTGCAAAATGGGCTATTAAGTTAGCATATTAACTAAATTGTTTTCATAAACGTTTTGCATTTTAACTTTTGGGGACATAATGTTTGTTTGGAAATCGAAGTTCGACCTGAATATGGTCTGGGCGTGTTTTAAAATTGTTATTCGAACATATGCAATGTGCCCTACGGGGTAATAAATGTCGCTCTTGTTCACAACTTGAAACTAAAAATCACTTGGAAAAGAGCACCAGAGACGTCGATTCTTCCGCACTTCGTCGGCTCGGTAAACGGAAGAGGCTGCGATAGCGGTACGGTATAATAGCGGCGCCCCACGTGTCTCCGAGCAGGCACGTCAGCGCTTTTTTCTCGCCTGGTTTCGGTTTAAAGTCGTGCACAATTGTTTTGTATCTCGCCCCTAAGCGCCTATTAAAAATTGTTTAATCACAATTTCATGGCACGTATATTCCGCATTCAGGTCGCGCGTCGATTATCCAACTGCATTATACCCCAAGAATAAAGCTGTAAATTATTTAATGTTTTTGTTAATTAGCCAACTAATTAAGCGATATCTCCCGTTTTCCTGTAGCCGTCATGGTCACCAACTTGACCCCAGGACCAAAAGAACCTCACGCATAGTTTTCCTTTTAAGAATTCCAAACCGGCTAAATAAAAAAAATAAGAAAACCCTGTATTTATTATATGAAAAACAACTGTTTCTGAAAGGCAAAAGAAAAAAAGATTTCACACAAAAAGCAGTTTATTTAGTCGCTTGCAACTGCATAAAAATTATAATTTTGGGACAATTAAAAAAAAAATACATTGTTGTCGCCAATGCCCGTCAATCGGCGTTGGGTTATTCTACTCATAAAGTAATGGTTAGTATACTGTTGCACTCAAGTGGCTTATTACACAGTTTTGATGGCAGCTGTTCAAGTGTACCAACAAAACGCGAATGCTCGATTCCAGACACATCCCCAGACACCTCTCAGTGTCGCAGTGTGTGGGAAGACGTTCCTATTCTCTTATTTAACACGCTCAAAATGCCTGGAAGCATATCACCGACGGATCTGTCCACGTCCTGCTTCGGTTCCTGGACAGTTTGCCACACTGTCGTGGTCTGACTGTGCCGGTCTCGCAATTCATCTCGTTCACAGAAAATCAAACAGCAGAGTCATGCTTACTTACATAAGTGGCTGGTACCTCCGGCTTTGTAAGAGAATTTGCCGGAGTTTAAAGAGCGTGTGCGACTAAACAGCTGTACGGAGAAAAAAAAATAGGTCGTGCAGCATCCTTATTTTTGGCCTAATCACTCTGCTTGCGAAGAGTGAGTGAAACCGAGAGGAAAGTCCGCTTTTTTCTCGAGGCAAATGTCGGAGACAACGCTGTCGTGAACTTGCGAGACGCACGTCGCACTAAATTACCACCCTTCTCCCTCCATTACCTCTTCCACCACGAAGACGTGGCGCATTAGCCACCGTCCTTCCTGCAGGTTCGCATTTCTCAAAATAACTACAATCTTTGAACGTGTAGAAGACCGCAGTATTATGACAAAATGCCGATCGCCATTATAAGTGCAAGACCGATAGAACAAGTATACGCCGTTAAAACTGTAAGGCCGATATAACAAGATTACGCCGTATTAAGGTGATTTCGTGCATGTTGCACCTAGCCACTATAGTATCCGTTCGGCGCGCTCTCTTGCGCAGACTAACAGGCCTGCGGTCCATCGGGGCCGGCTGTCTAATATTTCTCTCTAAAACCAGATCGTACAGGAGTCCCGTATAATCAATCAAATTTACCATTCATTTTATGGCTCACGTAGTATTACTGTTAACGTTGTCATTAAAATTTTAATATTTTAACATTTCGAACTCTCTGGTATAAGTGAAGCTCGTAAAAATGGCCCACAACTTCTGAAAACTTGAAATCTTTGAATGGTTGAACTGGGTTCCTGAAACGTTTCAGATGAAAAGGACGACTGAGAGCACTGGTAAAAAGATCGGACGTATTATTATGTTATGTTATTTTTCCTTTCCTCCAGCTAATAGCATACTGACCTATAGTTACAGAATGAATTATAAGGAAAACAAATACGGTAGTACGACTCATCAAGCGAAAAAGACATTTTGAACTTTTATTCGCTGAGTTTATTACAGAACTCCCGACTTCTTCTGCCGGTCAGGAATGGTCGAAAATAATCATTGTTTGCAATCTAGGGAGCGACTGTAGGAAAAACGAAGCTCACAAAATATGTTATTGGAAAAGTGATACCAGGTAAAACTTACGCGCAGGAGACGACTTGCGCGCTTTGAAAGGACTCTGGGAGAATTAAAGCCTTTGCTTAGATACTAAGAATGAGCTCTTCGAGAAACCTATTACGTGTGTTTAAAATGTCCGTTAAAGTGAAAGAACGATGTAAAACACATAAGCATATTCTTCAAACCTTCATACGCATTGACAAAAAAAAAAATCATACTAACATATAAATGACGCACCCTATTTAAAACGTAAATAAAACAATATTTTGATAACCATGAGACGCTATTTGAATACTACGGAGGTGCAAGGGTGATCTTAGAGTTTGCAAAAATAAACACACCAGCAAGGACGACGCGACAACGTGTATGTTGTCCCCACCTTTAAGCTTACATTTGAATAATTCATAGTCTCAACAACCGCGGCACGATGATCCTCCTTCTAAATCCATCTTGACATAAACTTGGCAGCGTGTTGTGTTATGAACCGCATTTTGCTTAACGCATGGCAAGGAAACGTGCACGCGTCTCGTACTGACGTCACTTTCTTTTTCCTTATGCTATTTCCAGCTGAACGGAATCAACACTCAAGGGGAAAACATTGCCGACAGCGGAGGCATTCGGGAAGCCTTTCGGGTGAGTCTGAAATAATATCGCGTGTAGAAAATGGGTTTGGGTTTCAATATTTTTCTGATAATAAAACCCGGATTACCTGAAGCTGAATAGAATCACACACATCCTCGTGAAAACCGAAATTGTCACCGAACACGAAATTTTCTTTTCCGCATTGATACATTTTGGATTACTCTAATGTTTGCATCAATATACTAAGGGACTAATGCTGATGCAGGCACCAATTATGTCGCGAAGGGAAATATGTTTGCGAACAGAAACATAAATAAAAATAATTGAGTTCAATTAGAAATGAAGCGAATTTTTAGCGCCCTCTGGGTGAGTGGTGGCCAATATATTTTTTGGTAGATCCTTACTCTGGGGACTTCCACTACAAATATGAATGAATCATTAAAATCTGGTTTCACCCTTGAGGTGCTTATTTTCAATGCTGGTTGCATCTGCTAACATTCGTTTGCTCTACTGACTGATAGCCGCTGGTTAGCTCAGTTTATAGAGCGCTCCGCAAGTCTTGCACCTGGGCAGACTTTTTCAGTGGCCAAACGCCATCTACGGGCAGCGAGGTGCGCTCCATTTGAGGTGGAAGTCAATTTATTTTTGGGAAAACCTTCAGCTTGGGGACTTACGTACGCAACGATCATTATATCAAGCATTAACGTCTTATTTTAAACTGCGGTGATTATGATCAAGACCGGTGACAACTGTTAACAACAGTTCGCTCTTCTGATTACGGGACTCTGGTTAGCTCACAGCCGGATGTTACGGCATGGGATGTGTTTATGGAAATATGTTTTATGCACAAACAAAAAACCCCTGATTATGGTACACCTTTTTCCCACTTCACGACCACTACAGCATAGCCTAGAGAGCAACTTCTTGAAGTACCACTTATATTCCAAACTTCTGTTATTTTACAGGCAACGTTTGTTCCCTCTTTGAGAAGAGCAAAGTAAATTAATTATTACCTGCATAAAAAGCGTCACATCAGCCTTACTTAGTACGGTGACAGTACCTTGCCAGGGGGAAGCTTCCACACGCACGTACCAGGGTTTCCCTTTTACAGGCAGCAGAAATTTGAATCTCTTCTTGTCTGAAATTATTCATGACATACAGCGTACAAAAAAAAAAAAAAAAAAAACGAACGAGTTAATTTTTTTTTTCACAGCTGTTATGCGCTCTTTCCGCCACTGCAAATGACGTTCGTTGCTGATGTTTTAATTGGCGTAGTGTGGCGAGGGATGACCGTCGCCGAGGATTCCAGATGCTTGAAAAATGTTGCCCGCCGCCCGCGGGAAACGAACCTAGGTCTGCTGCGTGCGAAGTGGAGGCGTTACCAGAGATCTGCTCCACAGCGTTAACTATCTTTTCGACTTTTGTAGTACCCGGTGCCCACTGCCCGGTCATCAACCTTACTTTTTCTGCTTGGACCAAGTTGACATACAACCAACCGCCAAGTGTCTGGCCACGCTGCTGTTGTTTTTTTTTAGCTTGGCTCTCTACCCCGTGACGCATATCACGCGCTGTCTGACTGGCGGCCGAAACGTCAACGCTCCCCGCCCTCCTTCCAGTTGAGAAGGGCACCGACTCTGAACCATCTCATTTTTCCTGCTTTTTTTCGCGCTAACGGTTGTGACCAGTTTGACTGCTGGGAGGTAACAAACGACGCAGCGGAAAACGCGCGCCATCTTGTCAACAAAGACGTTGCCTGCAGAGCTGCGTAGGAAATGTGGTGAAACTTTGCGTTGATGTGCTTCAATTAGTGATTTTGGTCTGATACAAGTGATTACGGTTCAACCGAGAATCATGTGCATTCATGGAAATCAGCAAGGGTCGCAAAACCCTTCTCCGTGGCCTGCCGATACGACGGTAAGCGCTCGAACGAACCGGGTTCAGCTGCTGGGCCGCTGGACCGGCTGTTACGCGGCCTTAGCTGGTTGCGCCGCGTTTACTAGTTTGCAGCAGCAGCTGAGGTTTGAACGGATGTTCAGCATGCAGGCACCTGCTTCCAGTGGCAAGACTGTCCGCGTGGAGGCAATGAAGCAGCGCTGAGCTTCAAGTGACGAAGCGGCGTGGATCGAGCACAAAGATGTGGGAATCCGGCTGACCCGGAGAGCAGGCCCGGGTTCAGAGGTGGTCTCAGGGCCAGCCGCCTAAAGACTGTTAAATCGTCCAGCTTTTTTGCCCTATAGTTTGCGGAAGACTCTGGCAGACATCCAGTCCGAGACTCGGGAGCAGCTGGATGGGCCGTCTGTATCAACTCTACAGCGTTTCGTTTCAAGCGCTGACGAGTGTCTTTCTAAAGGATTTACTTGTGATTGTGCTGTGCGACGATTGCTTTGATACTCAGGGCGTACTTGCGATTGGTATTGTAAGTACGCCCTGAAGTTTTATTTACGTATCTCGTTCTTTCGCGCGTTGCGTGTTAACAATCCGTTCGCTGTGTAGCGCCTCGAAGCAACTTCTGGAGATTGTATTGATTTCTTAGTTTTGCGTGCTTGTTGCTGCTCTAGGCGTTCCCCTACCAGCACTTGCTTTACATTAGTTTCTTGTTTTAACGCTTCACTCGGGTGAAGCGTTAAACGCTTTTAACGCTTTACTCCGGTGAAGCGGAACGCTTCTAAAGCGCTTCGCTTTACTGGAGTGCTTTAAAAGCGCCCCTTCACTTTGTCCGGCCACTGGCCCTTCACTTTGTCTGGCCACTGGCCTTCCACTTCTGTTCGGCCACTGGCCCTCCACTTCTGTTCGGCCACTGGCCGTTCACTTCTGTCCCGCCACCCGCTATCCACTTTGGCCGGTCATTTGTCCTAATTATTTACTAAAGGTTAGTTGCCGATTTCACAAATTCTTCGTTACCATATTCGAAGAAATGTGTTAACGGTCTATAAATAACACTCTGAATTTAAGGTATTTGCCTATAAATGGCTAAATGCATCACTTTGAAGTGTGCCTGCCTTTTTCCAATTTTCATTCAGAAATTTAAATTTTTTTTATATTTTAGCATACGTAAGAACGAACGTTCTTACCCTTGTATGCTTTCCTGGCACTCCGCCATATTTAAATCATTTTTTCCTGCTTGTCGCCACGAGAGGAGATCGCCCTCGAAATCTCCGCTCTTTGGCGGAGATCGTACAAGAGACTACGAAATGGCAAGCAGGGCGCCACTGCCCTTGACAAAAAAAGCGATACAAAATCAGTATAGTGAAACCGTACTGAGAAGATGTACTAATACCATACTCATTTCACCCTTTTATGAAACAAGGAACTAAACTTCTTTTTTTTTTTTTTACATATTGCACGTGCCGCTATACTTCCAATACATTGCAAGTACACAGTAAGCACAGCACATGTTTAATTTTATTCGGCTCCAAGTGCACTCTACGTAGACTATGAGCACACTTCATGTAAATTGGAAGGGTACCTCAAGTGTATGCTATCAGTATTTACGCGGAGCGAAGGTTCGTCTGCTTCTCGCGCAGCGGTTGCGATGACATGAGAACGTTGAGCTTTGATTGGAAGGATGAGCTCAATGCTATAGCTGCCCTTGAGGTATACACACTATCATTACAATTCAGCCAATCAGAGCCCGGCGTTCTGACGTCACCACAACCCCTGCGCCAGAAGCAGACGAAGTGGCGCTCCGCATTGTTTACCGTGTAATGGTGTGATTTTGATGCGTGTATTTTTTAACGGTTCACAAGTGAAGAAACATAATTAGGTGAAGCGTTAAAACGAGAAACTAAGGTAAAACAGGTGCTAGTAGGGGCACGAACCTGGAGCCGCAACCAGGATGCAAAACTAAAAAATCAATTTAAGGTCCAGAAGTTGCCTCGAGACGTGACACAGCGCACAGATTTTGATCACGCAACACGCGAACGAACGTGATACGTAAACAAAATTTGACGGGGTACTTACAATATGAACAGCGATCTCCAAATGCAGGCGTCGCACAGCACAATTACAATGCAGGTGTCGCGAATTTCAAACTGGACGTCTGTCGGGGTCTCCAGCTAACGAGGGCCAAAAAAAGCTGGAGGATTTGACAGTCTGTCTGCAGCTGCCTTGCGACCACCTTCAAACCCAGGTCGCTCTCATGGTAAGCCGGACTGCCACTTCGCCCTCGTTCCACGCTGCTTCCTCAGTGGAAGTTGAGCGCTGCTTCATCGGCTCCGCGCTGACTGTCTTGCAACTGTAAGCAGGTGCCTGCATGCTGAACATCCGCTTGGACCCGAACGGCTGCTGCGACCGAGTAAATGTCAAGTAAAGGTCGAGTAACATTCAGCCTAGCGGCCCAGCAGCTAGGCCCCGTTCGTTACTGCGAGACCTTTTCCTCTCACCGTCGTATAGTCACGGCCACGGAAAAGGGTTTCGCGACCCCTCACCGATTTCCTTGAACACACACAATCCTCGATTGAACCGTAATCACAAGCTTTTGACCAAAATTACTAATCCAAGCACAACAACGCAAGCTAAGACTCACCACATTTCCCATACGCAATCATCTTCTAATGTAAAAAGCTCGAGTAAATTACTGGAATGATAGGCGCAGCACAAAGACTTCCGGTTGCAGATCTGGTCGTCTGGTTTTCAACAGCATAAAAACATGGACGAGATGAGAGAAACAGAAATATATATACTAACTGAGATAAAGCAAAATATGTAGCCTGACACGACACACTCATATTTTTCTTTTCAATTCAAATTCATTCAGGCGTGGACCATGTCAGGTTTGTGCTTTGTTGAGAAATTTCACTGGGTTCTGCTTCCTTCAAGAGTAAGCGTAACGCCTTAAGTTGTCAGTGCTCTTATATTGCTAGGAGCTCCTGTGGTAACGGAAGTGATCACGAGGGGACGAGGGTTGTCGCACCCTTTACGCTATCGATTGGTGGCTGTGTAAAGTTACGACGTCAAAGTCCCGTTACTCTATTCGTTAAATCGACTTCATCCGCCATGTGACTCCGTATGCACGTGGAGATTTGCGCTTCGCTATCATAGAGCCAGTGGCACGCACCATTGGTTGCCTGTTCCCTGAGCCATACTTGGTCCTGCAGCTAGCCCTCCCTTTCAGCTCCTTTTTGTGGTGCCAAGCAAAGGTGTTTGGCTGCGGATTGCACGGCCCAGGGTTCAAATCCCGCTGATACGTTTTGTAACCCTCACTTGCTATGTGATTAAATATTACTAAGTATGCATTCATTTTGGATGCATATACAGTGCCTTGTATGGGTTGTGTATGCGTTACGTTGCCTTAGATTTGTATTTATTTCTTGGAGTTTTCTTATTCATTCAAGTTTAGTAAAGAAGACTGCTTATCACCGATGACAAAATGCTCTATGAAGGGGAGGGGGGAGAGGAGGTCCCAGCAAAATGGAAGAATTCGGGGGGGGGGGGGCCCATGGGCCTCCTCCCCCCCCCCCCCACCCCCCCCCCCCCCCCCCCCCCCCATGGCTACGTGCCTGCTTCAAACAAAATAGCGTCATAACCACTGCATGTTTTAAAATAGCTTTTCATGTTCGAGGATGACAGATTAAATACCTACAAAACAAAGATTCAGTGTATCTTTTTCAGGTCCTTCTCAGAGGTGATTTTTATGACTCGGTCGTCGGGGCCTCGGCGAACAAACACATTTTGATGTAATTGTAAAGCAAAGTGATATTCCTCTTCAGTAGCATTCGACCGAACAGCCAGAAAAGTTTTATTTTGTGCCGCGAGGTTTTTATTCAGTAATATTCTCAGCCTCGATTTCTTCAGTTCCCTCCTTTTTTGGAGCCATGTGTCTCGTGTTTTCTGCTATACAAAGCGAAAAAGGACGAGGGAAGTCTTGTAAGACCACGAAGGATGTCGATGGTTGGCTTTAGCATCTGTGCCATGAAACTATGGAAGTTCGAGGTCATTTGCCAGGCGGTTGAGTTTGCTAAGCAGATTTTTGTTTACTTGCTTGGGCAGCCCATAAATGTCCAGATTTTGCTGCCTCTTATATTACTGTTGATGCTTAAAACCCGAGACTATGGTGAGGGGAAAAATAGGAAACCTTTAGGTCGAAGAAAAAGGCACAAAAAAAGACGTCTCAAATGCAGCTAAATCGTTTATTTTTTTTCACTCCTTATATAACCCCGATAAATACCAACGCCCCCTCTCCCGGGCATACATTTTATTCGGATCCAAGAGAACTCGTCACAAGCCCTCTCGTCACGGACCAACCGGTCGTAGGTGTAGTCGTTTGGTAGGTGAACCCCTCACATGGCTTCTCGTACAATGAATTCTTGTTATGCGGGAACACTCGTCACACGGAATGCTCGTATTAGGACTTGATTTTTTATGCGATGTGACGAGTACTAATTTTTCTCGCAAAAAGAAATCTATTTGCTTTGGTTTCGTAATAGTAATAGTTAATATCTGAAACAGTAATACACACAATTTGAATTGCTAGCAATATAATTATTTTGACATACATTCCCGGAAATCTTACAGCGGCTTAAAAGAAAACAGAAAACAAATGCGTGCACACGTGATAGTACATTAATTTGTATACTCTGAAACAGAAACTACAGACTAGGCGTGTGTGTGTGAAATACTTTACAAAATACCAATTCCTCGCAATAGATAAAGATGAGCAATAGCTAATAGTTACTTATCGTAAAATTTGTTAGAGCTGAATGTGAAAATAGAATAAGCATATATTAAACGATATTTAGAACCTCCCTCACTTTCCCACGCCTTTGAGCCAAAGGAGATTTTTTTTTTTTTAAAGTTGATCTGTATTTTTTTTTTTCAATGTAAACGAAGGGTTTGAACGTTTATTGTGTTTCAAAGAATGTGCCTGGAAGAGAAGATGGTGATGATTCTATCGGGAATGCCAGGACAATTCTCGTATGTAATTCGGCGGTTGATTCATAGGTATCTAGGAGTCCAGTCGGTGCATTGTGAATGAAGTGTATTTCAGGTAGATGAGGTGTTTGTGTCTAGGGGCGGTATATAAGGAGTAACAGAATGTAAACAATTAAGCTGGGTTTGAGACGTCCTTTCCTCTGCCATTTTCTTGGGCTTTAAAGTTTAATATTTTCATCCTCACCACACTCTAGGGTTTTAAACATCAAGATTAACTATCACCAGCTCGCCTCCACACTCACAGTCCTTTTTATATTGCTCTAGTTCGTTCACTGGTCTGTCAGTTTTTTTTTTTTTTTCTTTTAGATTTTTTCATCCTTTACTTTTACTTGGGGTTTTTCCACGTGCTTCTGCAGAACGGATATATTATGGCTTTGCACATTCATCTGGGCACTTCATCGTACTTCAGCGAAAATTACTGTATTGACCGTTGAATACCGCCAACTGTGCTTTTAATGCCAACAAGGCTGTCTACTGTTACTTTTATTTCAAGCATAGCGGAATGTTGGCTTTGATTCTCAGAAATCTCACCTTTTACAGTCATTTCCGTTTCCTCATCTCGTTGGAGGGTGCTTAGGTTGCTCACCGCCTTGGACACTTCGCATGTTTGCATTTCCAGGGTCGTTTTGAAGCAATTTTTTTACGTTTTCCTATTTACTTTGGAACCCAAGCCGATGGGGTGATTAAAATGACACTCTGAACAACATAAATAATTTACATAATTGGAAAGCGGTCACTGCAAGCAAAGCAATGGTTTAATACGTTGGATAAAAAAGTCACTCAGCAGCAGCAGCAGCCAAATAACTTTCTAAAGTGCAGAAAAATAAACCAACCTGTAAATTAAAAAAGGAACACTCCTTAAGAGTCTGCGACATTCCGACGGTGCCACTGCTGCTGAGTGCGTGTGAACTGGTTTTTAGTTTCGGAATCCTTTTTTTAGCAGCTGGGTGATGACCTTCAGGTTCACGTGCGCAGTGGGTCCAATGGTCGTTCCGACGGTTTCTTGGAAAGTTGGCGCGATGTGCACCAAATTGTTTTCGTGGTGAATCAGCTGTAAATATCAGAAGACATTTTTAGGAGCCTGCGACAGTACTGCGAGAGAAGCGATCAAAAGAAGGTGACCCAATACGGTGCCTCAGGGAAAACCTTACATAAGAGACCCTCGTATTAAATGCTGTGCACCAAAATTTAAATATATTAATTCCTGAAATTTCAATGTATCTTAGGAACGCGAGAAGACCGCGATTTTCCGATAATGAGCGTTTGGTTAAGAGCAGATGAATATACAATGGTTATTTGGTTGAAACACTTTTGTGAAATTAAGAAAAAAAAATTCTTGACATCCATGCATTGAAACAAAATGGTATGTTTCTTCTTTTTCAGTTTAGAAGCGCAGGTTCTGTTAGGCTATTCTTGCAACTTTTTAACTGATATACCATAAACAAAATTCTAAACAATTATGACCAATTGGTAAGCAATTTTGTTGTATACATAAAACCTTCCATCATCACAAGCGTTTAGCTATACTCCAGACACAAGACGCCTGGCATGCGCACACTTGATTTTTCTTCCTAGAATGAAACGATACTAGCGCTAATGGGACAGATAAACCTGGCCATCTTGCAGAGCCTTCTGTACTTTCGAACTTCTCTCCTTCAGTGCGCACAGGTTGTCGAGCGACTACTCGCCTACCTCTTTGGTCACATGACCTCCCCGTTAACCAATCGGCGACGAGCACTTCACATCTCCTCACCCATTCGCCAACCAATCATTGTCGATCCTTGCGGCCACGCTTGCGGCCACGCTTTCATCCAGGCTTTCATCCAGGCTTCATTTTTGGGCTTTATAAGATGCGAAACACCTAGAGAAATAACGTTTCACCTTAAGATACGCTTTGCCAAGGGAACTGACTCTCGTGCGTATTACGATTTTGTGTTATCTAAAAAAATACAACAGAAACCATTTAAGTAGGACTGTCACATATAAGCTGTTCCGGCTCAAGAATCAAATATAAACGTTAGTTTGGCAAGTTGTCATATAGATTTGTTAATTTTCAGATTGCTCATATCCCAATGGCGGCAATTACTAAGATTCGCGTTTGCAGAGCATGCTTTTATTTCGTCGTATTTTCGAAAGAAAGGAAGCGTAAAATATATATATATATATATATATATATACCGGATTAGGTGAATCGCGTTCATGTTTGGTGTTGCCTACACGAACCAAAAATATGTTCAACCGATTTTTTTACCAGATGTGATAACCAACACGAGGAAACCCTAAGGCAATAATTAGGATGGAAATTTTCTTGGGTGGTGCCAGCTGAACACTAATAAACACAGAACATTTACAACCACTGGATTAACAACTATATTAAAGCCTTCTTCTTCCTTCACTACTCTCAGTATTTACAACCTGGATTGAAGCCCTCTTCTCCTTATTTACAACCTGTATTAAGGCTTTCTTCCTCTTCTTCTATACCTATTTACAAACGTGGAGCTGCTTCGTGTCCTTCAAAACCCCTGCAGAAGCAGTTTTTCTCGCGAAGGACACGAAGCAGCTCCACGTTCGTAAATAGGTACAGAAAGAGAGGAAGAAGGCTTTAATCCAGGTTGTAAATAAGGAAGAAGAGGGTAAAAAAATGTCAAATTAGTCGTTAGTTGTTTATACAGCAGGAGGTTAGTCTGCCAGAACATGGCGAGATTGTTACCCACTGTAGATAAGCAATTTAACCAGTGCAGTACGACTGCTAACCTGGTTCTTTAACGTGCTCACGCAGTAGTGATACATGACCGCAAGCCGGTACGATGCTCATCCAAATCGAAACGGGCAGGAGTGGGGATTGAACCCGAGATCCCTGGGTTCTGCAGCGCGGGAAGACGAGGGCTTCAACCAAGGTTGTAAATACTGAGAGTAGTGAAGGAAAAAAAAGGCTTTATATAGTTCCCCAAGACTTTTATCGAACTAGCTCAGCTCCAACCAGTAGTAGAAATATTCTTCCGAGAGCAGACTACGTCCCCGACGACATTCTCCGAAAGGACGAAGTGCCTGAGGGGTTAATTTTTGCAGGCATACCGGATCAGCCTGGCCAAGACCGGCAACCCGTTGGGGGTCGCGCTCCCTGGCCTCGAGAGGTTCACCAGCGACCAGATGTTCTTCATCTCGACTGCCACGGTAAGCGCAGGGCTTTCCCATGGTGATGGCCCCCAGTGGCACGAAAGGCATATCATGTTGAAGTTTGATAGACCTATTCCCGGTTGCCATGCATCTTGCTACGATTGTAATCTCAACAGCCATTCCCGGTACTCGAGCATGCTACAGGACCAGAGAGCAAAGGCCGAGGAGCAATCGGTGAAACAGTGCATCCATAAGGAACGCATACACCCTAAAATGCGAATCGGGTTACAAATTGTTTTTACCTCCCCCCCCCCCCCCTCCGTCACAAGAAAAACAAAGAAATCTGGGTCTTGGTATCACTCAGATCTACATATTTTCAACGTTTCATGCCAATACAATGTCAAAGTAGTGAAAGGTATCTAAAAAAAGTAGACCGTGGATGGCTAACATTTTAGTTTTGATATGATCGCTTTATCACCGACAGAGTACTGTGAAGTAATAAGTTATCAGCCTCGTAAAGCAACCCCAACGCTAGAGGAAAGTGGGACAATGGAAGGTCTGGTGAAATTTGCTCAGATTAATAAAGCAGCGCGGTGAGGCTACAAGAACGCTTCTATGTAATGACCCATTTTAAGAGAATGTCTCAAAAACAGATTTGGTTAGAATGCATTTTCCTCATCTATTATTCACAGTTGCACAATCCGCCATTGTGTGCTTAGATTCTCACCCAAGAGAGGCAATACGACAGTCGTTTGTACATTATCGTTTGTACATTACCAATCGAGCACTTCTGTCTTCTGAAAGCCACAGGATCGGAGTTTTGTTCTAAGTATTTTTTACGAAAACATAATATAACTTATTTCTAAGTTTCTAATGCCTGTGGAATGTTTGGGACGTTGTGTTTTTTCGTAAGTTCGTAAAGCATGCCAGTTCTAGCAACGGTTGTTGTCAATTTTATATGCTAATACATCGAACTACCTTTTCCTCAAAATTCATCGGAACCATATTGTTTGGAATGGCCAAGTCAAGTAGAAGCGGGCCCACAAAAAAAATCACTTGTTTATATACGCCACACACGTGTCGCACAAAAAAATGATTTGTTTATAAGCCACACACGTGTCGGCACTCAAACTAAAAGCGTTATGTATAAAGGCGTGTTGTCCGCACCAAAGCCAGCGACGAGTTAGGAACCTAGTAGATGCTCCGCTTAAACCGCGGACGTTCTGCCCTTGATAATATTGTTTTCGCGATGCCCAGCGCAAATTTGGCTGCTTCATTTGCAGTGGTTTCACAACCTCGAGCTCAGATTGGCTCTGACTGAAAGATAGTGGGTAGACCATAAAGACTTCCTTGAGGTCTACCCGCTATCTTTTCAATCGCAGCTAGTCAAAGCTTTGTGTTCTGATGCCACCACGACCCCTGCGCAAGAGGCAGACGGACATGCGTTCCGAATAGCAGTCAAAGCCAATATCACCTAGAAGGCAAGGCCTGCCTTTCCGCCAAACGTCATCCCTAAATTCACGCTGCGGCATCTAGCGCGCCCCAGCGCGTCTTGCAGCGTCTCACGAGTCTCAAATAAGCGCAACTTTAGCACGCTGCGACACCAGACACACGCGTCGGCGTGTGCCGCTTTACGGCGTACCCTTAACGAGCTTCAGCGTTTTTGCCGCAGGGGGCGAGTCGGGGATCCACTAACGATGACAGCTTGCACAGGCCTTGCCCCTTATGGGTGGTATTTCCAGAGCCCGTAGGAAGGCCACGAGCACGTGCTACTTGGTGCTTAACATGTCACCGACTACTGAGATGCGTGGACTCCGGCTGCGCTTGGGCCTAGAAAAAAACGGCGCGTATAGTGAAACGTTTTCGAGCGGCGTTGTCATAGCCTTTAAAATAGTGAGCAATCCACGCGATGACTAAGATAGGTGGTGTCAGCGTATTCTTGTGCACAGACTTGGGCAATTTACTTTCGTGCCGGACGAAACCAATTATTTGTTTTCCTTTCTTGCACATTTGGCCGATCTCCTCCAGGCTTGGTGCGCCAACACGCGAACTGAAGAGCTGAAGAATATCCTTCAGTATGACTCTCACAGCCCGGCGAAATACAGGTAAGTGCTAGTGCTCACTATTCTTCAGTTTACTTTGACTCGCTTTTCCTGCCTTCTCTTACGTTAGACTTGCTCACCTGCTACGGAACCTTGGGTCTTTATACCTGAACCCGTAGATTTTGTTTTTTTTACGTGAAAAACTATCGAAGGGCAATTGACACGCTCTGGCCAAATAGGATGGATTATTTAAAGGCACCGTAGCTTCTCTTCTGAAGACAAAGGTAACTGTAACCCTCGGCGAACCCCCGAAAAATACGCCTAAATGCATGGAAAACGTGCGTGTACGTAACTGCATGATTTCCAGTAAGCCGAAGGTTGAGCCAGAAATATTTTTTAAGACGGTTTTTGGTTATACGGGGCTTCTGCCTGCAGGGCCCTTAGCGAAAACTAATACGTTTGAAATACACCACATTCTAATTCGAGTGAATTTGATGTACAGTTCATAATTTAAAGTAAACAACATTTTTGTGCACATTAAAGCTGATCAAAGACAGTATTTTAATTCTTAAGGCTTTGACATAATCAACCTAGCTACTTTACGACGTTTAAAACGTATAAATTATGCGCATCAGCGCCCCACTTTTATATAAAACGCGCGATCTAAGTATTTTTTTTTCATTTTTTGTGCCAATAAAATAAGATAAGAAGTTATTATCTTCCGTTTTCAGCACCTTGAGGCGCCTTATAAGGATTTAGCGCCAAAATGACGCATCTTGTCATTAAACGGGTACTTTCACGTTTTCTTCATAGCCCCCGATTCGTTAAACAAATTACTAAACAGACCAACACACATCGCTGAAATAGTATTCCGAATAGGAGGTCAAAAATTTGTTTTTCGAAGTTATCGAATTTGTAATTTTGGCCCTGATCGTGTTTTTCATATTGAAAGCAAGGTATATGTACATGGGTAGCGAAGCTTCCATAGAAACCCACATGTCGAAAAAATGGCGGCCCATGGAGCTGCTTTAGCGCCATCTATGAGTCGTGGGGACACTTCCGGCGGAACAAAAAATCAACAGGAAATGACGACACTTCCGGAAAAAAACGTGACGTCATGCGTGCGTGCGGTTTGGCGCGAAAATTAAACAAAACTAATTCCAGAGATCACTAGTAAATGAATGACATATACACTAAAAAGTCTCAAACATAGCTCCGTGTTTGAGCTTTGTTTGATACTTTTTAGTGTATATGTCGTTCTTTTTACCTGCAGTCTCGGGTTTTTCCTGGGGTGTTTACACCTTGTATTTACTCTATACTGGAATACTGGATCGTTTACACCCTTATTTGCCCTTGCTCTTATATTTTGTTCGAAATGTTTTTTTTCTGCAGCCGACTTTGTTAGCCGACCTGCTATGAGAGTAGTTTCATTTCGTCACAACCATCGTGTCTTTGCACTGTGGTCAAACTCCAGCCGCAGTGTTTTGCTTTTTGTTCCTTCAGGATCCCTGGGAAATATGTGAGAAACCTGAAAGCAAATTATGTAATGTCACAAAAAAGAGTGAATCAAATTGCTGGAGTGTGTTGGGCGTATGAAATACACAACAGTAACTCTAATGCAAGTCCAACGTCGCTTTAACAGTCGCGTTTTATTTGTTTTATTCACTTACAATCATTCACTCAGATTACTCACTAGAATTATACAATCGGTATCAACTATTTTCAAAAGGTCATGGTCGAAGAAAATTAGTAGATCGGTACATAAGGCACACTGTTATAACATAAGACATTGTACAATCGGCTGGACGTTGTGAGGACGTTGACAGTTGATAGGCAGCCACTAATAACTCGGAGGTTCCACAGTGTTCCGACAACTGAGGCCACCACTGTAATACACAGAAAAGCTACACTTTTATACACATTCCTTGGGCAAGGTACCATAATGCTGAAAATATCTTAACTTGCATCTGCTGGTGCTGCTACACGGCAACGCAGCGATTGTTTGGTGGAGGTCAAGGAAGCCAAGTGGAGTAAACCCTCTTGGAGCCCTGTGGTATGCTGCACTTCATAAGCCAGTTTTGCTTCACAGCTTTAAACTCTATATATGTGAATAAGTTAGAGGACCACATTACTCCTCAAGAAACCGAAGAAAATGAAAGGCTCGTATAGACCATGCCTGCACTGCTTTAAAAAGTACTCTGGGTGGTCTCACATACGTAGTCTGCGCACTTGCTGCCTAGCTTTACACTTTGCTACTGTATCAAATAGTCAGCATTTTTTTTCCGCGCGAACCAGTGCAGAATGGGTCTTGCAATCAGAGAAAACAAATTATCATAAACACTTTCGTCACATACAGTCAGAGACTTTGAAAGTTTCTGGTTAAAGAGGACACAAAGAGTCCGCCCTACGTTCTCCTTTGAAATTAGGTTGTTGATACATGTCTCGAAGACTTCCTCACAAGCTTCAACAAATAATATGAAAGAAGCAGAAGGAACTGAGAGGATTCCAAAGTGGGAGTCGGCAGTTCCTTTCACACTCAAATACAAGAGCACTTGATTTCCCTCAGAAAAACACGCATTTTCTGTCCTCAACTCATATTTCTGGGATGTTCCTACTCAGGAATGAACCCTGAAGAATTTCGATGCCAGCCACCCAGCAAAATAAACCATGTTGTTCTCTCCTATTGCCAAAGGGTAGTTTGAAGGCGAATCGTCTGCCGTGGCAAGAAAAACTGTGCTTTCTAAGGCAAGACGAGGAGAAGGTGCCAAAAGGCCTGCTGGGAACGTAGCAAGGAGAGACATGTCATCAGCACAGTTTGATTTTTCCGACAGCTTGAATAGGTTGCTAATCAAAAGGTGCCTGAACGCAGCCTGAAATTGACGGAAAGTGGAGTTCGTGTTTGCACCTCATTTTGAATGTACAACAGCAAAAGTGTTTTCAAGGGTGTCCTGGTTCAGATTGCGGTTTAAAAGGTGGGAAAAACCGCATTTAACCGCGAGGTGATTGCTGAGCAGCAGTAGAGACCTAACTGTTAAGCAGAAGCCACGAATGCAGTGTGGCTGCCTTCCACATCCGAGTACTAGCAGGCTCTTAGAAACCAGAATGCACTCTTTCAGAAACTCCTCATGGATAGAGCCGTTACAGATTGCAGAGGCATATGGCGTCTTTGCAGATTTCTGCGAGCTATTTACGCTGTCAAAGAGACGGTCGATTCTTTCAACGAATCTCGCTGTGTGAACAGCTCTGGCTGGCAATTGCTAAGAAGTAACAAGGGCGTACATTGCAGCTGCGCAGTGATTGCTAAACACTTGAGCTGCTAGTTTCACCGACATCTTTGACGAGAAGGTCAAATTAAAATGCTTCTCCTTCAGCTTTAGCATAGAACCGATCTCAAGTTTACGGTCCTTTTCATAAGCTTCCTTGATGTAGGAACTTTTCACTATGTAATCACCAACTTTTTAGTCGTATTTAAATAACATGTTTCTTAGTCACTTCAAAAGGTGCGGAGCATTGAAAAGGAAAAAAAAAAGTGGCTTGTCATTGATCTCTACGTAAGGCTTTTCGGCAGTTACGATGCTTGAAAAAGAGACACGTTCTGGCACCGTTCATCGCATACAACAGCTACCGGCTTCAGGCCAGCGTCCACAAGGGCGCTGTAGCACTGGAAAAATAGATATTTTAGTACATCTGAAGGTGTGCCTTTGTGAGCAAAAAATAGCCAAGCGGCTGCTTACACGGTGCTCCGACTCCTTTCGCCATGAACTTGAGAGCCTTATTTGCCAGTTTTTTGCCTTGCTGTCCACTGTGTTCTTTAAGTCTTTCAAACCTGTCAGACGAGGGGTTGTATGAAAGCTCTTTTTTGATGTGCATTTCATCAAAGACTATGCTGCAGGCCCAATCGGCTCGAGGAAAAGCAGCTGCCCGCCTCTTTATAAGCTCGAAAATGCCAGGGTAAAATCCAATCTTTAGTGGCACACGCTGAAGCCATAGCTGCAGTGAACTTACTGATGGCAGCCTGAGCAGTCGCCTGCAACACTTATAGCCTTTGGGGCTATGAAAGTAGAGGCCTAAAGCCAAGGCTTTGTTGTGGCTGCACCATCTCTGGCCAAACCGGCTCACATTGCTCATTCTAAGCTGGGCTTCAACGAGTGCGGCGACACGAGGAGACACATGAACGCGGACACTCTCAACGACTTCGGCAACAGTCCTCATCTGACGTTGTCGTTGCAGCCTTCGTTGCAGCCTTCTTTGCAGCCTCTTGTTACGCTCTTGAAGCTGTCGCACCTTGGCTCTCAGGCGTTCACCTACTTGTTGCCGATGCTGCAGCTTTTGCAGGGTGCTGCAATTTGGCAAATGACCCAGATTAGGTCCCCAAGAAAAACTTGCATTCGCCATCAATTTATTAAATGTGTAATCTATTCACGCTCAAGAACATTCCTCATTGATCTGAAGTGTCTTTAAACAAGAACTGTAAGTTTGACAAACTACACATGCAATTCAAGTTTAGGAAAGCAACAGTACATCTTTATGTTCGACTAGGCGCTTCATGTTGGCCAGAGACCTCATAGTCCAAAACGACAAGGGCGTACACAGAAACATGCAAGTCAGAATAGGCATCCAAACTGTGAAATGCATTTTCTTAAAGCTTGACCATACCTTACTTATGCCCATGGCATTGTAACAGTGAAGCGCTCGCACAACAACAGGCAACTAAAGTTTGGCAGGTAGGACAAGGGACCATGACAGGCTCAGCATCCCACACCTATGACCACGGCAGCTTTTCGATAACTTTAAGAAACACTGCCTTACGTGAGGTTTTGCGGGAAGACTTGTGATTCAGTGAAACCGGTTCAGTTGTTTTGATTTGACGGTGTTAACACCTGCGTGTGGAACATTTTTTTTTGTCTTTTTTGTGCTTGACAATGACAATACCGTGAAACAAAAATGTGGTGAACTTTGAACAAACTTCGATTTGTAGCTGCCAGCTAGTCGGTCTGGTGTTATGTGGCCCCTTGCGTCATCTGCTCTCAAGATAAAGTTTAGTATCCCCTGGTGTTTTTCGA